TAGATTCAAACTGCTGACTTTGAAGTTAGCAGCTCAGCTTGTATTCCACTATGCTACCAGAGCTCCTCCACTGAGTCAGAATTGGTAGTTGGCGTCGTGTCTTCTGAGAACCACTAGATGGCACTCTTATGCTTAGATGGTACAGATTTCAGGAGTTCAGAATGCTTAGTCTCTGGAATTCTGTGTGCACACTTGTGGAGGGGAGGGTTAGCTGATCCGACACTGCCATAGGCCTACGGGTTCACCCTTCCTGTGGCAAAGGTGGGGGTCACTTTCTGTCTTTCCCTCACAGGCACCCTTTCCAGGGTTCTTGTTGTGAAGTGCCATCCAGTCAGTTCTGACCCATAGCGACCCTGTATAGGGTTTCCGAGGAGCAGCTGGTGAGCTTGACCACTGACCTTGCAGTTCCAATGGCTTTGCAGTCTGGCGCAGTGACCCACAGCGCCACGGTATCCCTCTGTGTATCACTCTGAAGTATTCTGTCACAGTGCTGCCTTTGCTCTTCTTCCTGGTTCTAGTGCCCTTCTGTCTCAGACCTCAGTGAGATTCAACAGCTCTGACTCATAGTGAGTGCTACAGTGTCCATTTGTCCTCTCCCAAGTGCACGACCCACAAACGTGCAGGGCCAGTTTGTGGCACCTTTTTTGCAGTATTATAAGTACTTAACTGCTTACAGAAATATCAGCAGTTAAACCCACTAGCCACTCCGTGGGAGAAAACTACGACTGTGCAGTTGGACTCCTTGGACTCCGTCTCACAGGGTCAGTAGGAATTAGAATGGACTTGAAGGCAGTAGGTTTACCCTGCCCCATCCCCAAATGGCTGCAGTGAGTGAGCGAGCCCACTGTTAGTGGGAGCTTCTCCCAGCTTCTATACAGTGCCCGCTCCTTCTCCCTGTCTGCTGAGCTCATCCAGCCTCTCCAACACCTCAGCTGCCCACGGCAGTTCTGGGCTCTCAGTCTGGGCTTGGGTTTAATTTGTTGATCACTGCATTCGTTGCAAACGGGAGCCTCAGTTCAGTTCCCTATCTTGCTTCATCTCCACAATTGGTCTTTTCTGGTGACATGCCCAAAGTAAATGAGCCAAAGCTTTCTCCATTCTCACTTCTAAGTACTCTGCTTGCATTTCTCCTGAGACTGGTTGTTTTCCTCTGTCCAAGTTCCCTTTTCTTAGTAGGTACTACCATTTGAATGTATCACTTACTCCTTTTTCATTGTTCAGCATCCATACGCATGTGAAAAAAATTCCAAAGTGGCATCTTTGCTTTTTAAAACCTCAGAGAGGTCTTTTGCAGCAGGTTTACCTAGTGCAGCTGCCTGTGTGATTTCCTGACTACTGCTTCCTTGGCTATTGTTGATCTGGGTACAACCGTATCATTGACAGCCTCCTTTTTTTTTTTTTTTTTTCGGTTCATCATGATACTCATCTGTTCAATTTTGAGCATGTTTACACTTTCAGCATCATCTGTTCTGAAGGCTATATATGTTGACCATTGTGTCTCAGGCCAGGTTTTCTAGAGAAGCAAAGCCAGTGAAAGATACATATATATGTATATACACAGAAGTTTATTATCAAGGAGATGGCTGGACATTGTAGAGCCCCAGGGCCCCAGCGTAACAGAGAGAGCAGGAGCCTTTCCCGCCTGACCTATATTGGACAGGCCATACCCCCAAGGAGAGAGCCCTTCAATTGATTGGCCATTCATAGCCACTCATCATAGAATTAACTATGCCTGTGTTAGCTTGTATCACCATGGGAATAAGCACATCTTAAATACTAAGCCATGGAAATCCTGGCCTAGTCAAGTTGACGGTGAACCCTAACTATTCGAACCACTAACTGCCTCAAGTTGTCTTCATTTGGCGCAAACAAGGTTGTGTCATCTGCGTACTGTAGGTTATTAATGATGCTGATGCCACATTCTTCTTCAGATGGTCAACTTCTTGGATTTTGCTTCCATACAGTTGCATAAGTAAAGTGAAAGGATACAACAGAGTTTTTTCAATTTGGAACCAGACAGTATTGATTGTGTAGTTTCCATATGTGTGGCTCATAACAAATTATAGGTAGCTTCACTAAGAAAGAATGAGAAATCTTTGTAATGTTATCCATAATTTGTTACAATCCACAGTCAGATGCCTTCACATAGTCGATAAATCACAGGTAAGCATCTTTCTGGTATTCTCTGCTTTCACCCAAGATGTAGCTGACATCAGCCAGGATAGCACTCATTCCACATCTATTTTGAATCTGGCTTGAACTGACAGTTCCCCATCAGTGTACCAACATTGCATTATCATTAGCAAAATCTAGCTAGCATGTGTTATTAATGATATTGTTCAATCATTTCTACATTCAATTTGATTACCTTTCTTTGCAGTGGCATGAGTATGGCTCTGTTAGTCAGTTGGCCATCTAGATACCGTCCATATTTGTTAACTTAGCTACAGACCAGTAAGTTCTTCCAGCATCTCACGTGGTAATCTCTGAATTTCTGAAGCCTTGTTTTTCACCAGTGCCTCACCACAGCTCCAACTGCTTTTTTCAGTACCAGTTCTTATCATTTGCTACTTCCTAAAATGGTGGCGTGATCAACAATTCTTTTTGGTGCAGTGACGCCGTCTATTCCTTCCATCTTCTTTTGACACTTCCTCAGTCATTCCATTTTTTGCCCATAAAATTCTTTAGCAGTTCAACTCAAGGACTCGAATCCTCTTTACAATTACGTTCTCAGGCTGAAATCTGTTCAACTGCTTTTACTTCACATTTCTTCCATTCACTTTAGCTCCTTCATGCTTAAGAGTATCTTCTGATGCCCGTGTTGATCTCCCTCTTTTCTGTCTTTTAAATGACCTTTTACTCTCTTTATTTTAAAGTACTAATCTTTTTATTGAAATCTTTACCATATATGTTTTATATATTTTGTGTATCGTTCCTACGCAGTAGGTTGTGGTATCTTGGCCAGTAAATCCTGCACCTATTTCCCATTTTAGACAGTGCATTACTTAAAAAAAAGGGCTTCAGAGGTTTTTCATCTCCCTTTCAAATAGGAGATACTTGGTTACTTGTTGGTTTAAATTAAGAAAAGTTTTGTACTTTTAATTCAAGTCCAAAATAAATGCTTCTGTTTGGATTGCTTAGGAAAACTCCTGGGATCTGTGTTGGGTAATCCCTAAGATCACCCCCATCTTCAGTGATTTGCTAGGAGGGGGTCATAGAACTAAGTCTGTAATTGTACTGAGTACTCACAAGTAAGGTTTATTACAACAAAAGGGGATCTGCAAGGGAAAAAGATCCATGCAGAGTTTGGAGAAATCCATACACAGGCTACTGATCCTTGCCTTCCTGTGAGAGGACACATCAGACATGCTCCCGCAGCAAAAAGGGCCATGACGCATGCTTCTGCCCAGTAGAGACTCAGTGCCCAATGTTTTTAGTGATAGCTGGGTTCATAGGCATCTGCTGCCTAGCAACTATCACGATTCAGAATTCAAGCTGAAAAGTGGGTGTTTAACATAAATCACATTGTTTGCACAAATAGTCAGGATGTATTCATCTGCCCTTCTTGGTTAAGGACCAGTTCAATAGCAAGTTCTGAGATGCCAGCCAAGGACTAATGTTATTGATGAAGCAGGTCCTTGTTAAGATAGCAGCCTCAGACCTGCTTTGTTCGCTCTTTCCTGCACAAACTCAATCAGCTGTCACACTATCCTTGTTGGTTTTATAGCCTTGAGCAGCATTAAGTATCTGAATAATCTACTTAAAAGTTTTGTTTAAAATGTTTGTAAATTATGGTAGGAATGTTAGGAATCTTAACAGAAATGTTGGCAAAAGAAAATGTTGTTTGTTAGAGCAAAAAAATTCTTTGTAATTATCCATCATCTTCAGTTTCTCTAACCCCTTATTACTTGACCTGAAATGTTACTCTTGCAAAAGAGGCAAGCAAGTTTTGAAATGTCAGTATGAGGATAGCTCTGTTCCTATCCCATGAGTTAAACTAGACACATTTAATGTTTAAGAAGAGGGCAACTTGATGTGTTCTCCAGGGAAATGATGCCTTATTTAAGACTTGTTTAAATAAAACAGTTTCATACATCTTGCTAATTAAATATTTGAGATTTTTTTCACTAATTTTTATGAAAATATTAATGTCTGACAAAACTACTCTTTACTAAATATATTAGCCTTTGTTATATACAAGATAACTCCTTGGAGTTACTACAGTTTTAATACTAATATCATACACTCTCATGGCTCTGTAGGATGAGCTCTGGGCTGCTAAGTAAAACATCAGCAGTTCAGACCCACTAGCTGCTCCCTCGAAACCCTACACAGGGGCGCTAGGAGTTGGAATCAACTATGAATTGGAGCAACAACTCTTTCTCTACTTTTACTTTATTTCTTTTTGGCAGCAATAGATTAGATCTTGAATTACTCGTGTTAAACCTTTTCATCTCAATTCTTGTTTTAGGAATACTGTTATAAAATCTGGTGTAGGATCAGATCCAGATAATGAACTATATAATGGCAAAGTTACTAAAAATAAAGATTAGTATTTGTGCTTTGCTGTTATGACTGTGACTAATATTGTGATACAGAATTTGGATAGCTATAAGTTTTGATTGTGGAATTTCAGGATAAGCTCTGGGCTACTAACCAGAAAGTTGGTGGTTCTAGCCCACCAACCACTACTTAAGAGAAAGAGGAAGATTTCTGTTTCTGTAAAGATTTACAATCTTGGAAACCCTATATATAGGGTTACTTTTGAGTCAAAACTGACTGAACATCGCTTAGCAACAAATTTTTTTTTTTTAATGTTTGAATAGAGGAAAAACGAATCATATTATTTAGCAAGAAGGTACATACTGTGTTAAGGTGGAGATACTTAGATCCTGGTTGACTATACATGTTAGGGTGGCCTGTCCCTGCAGATTGCATTTTCCCTGTGGTGGTGTGCTCATGCGGTAAATGCCTAACCTGAACATTTCCCATTCCTCTAGGTGTGATGGGGGCAGTGGTGGCTCCTCTCACAATACTTGGGGGGCCTCTTCTCATCAGAGCTGCCTGGTATACAGCCGGCATCGTCGGGGGTCTCTCCACCGTGGCCATGTGTGCTCCCAGTGAGAAATTTCTGAACATGGGCGCCCCTCTGGGAGTGGGCCTCGGGGTCGTCTTTGTGTCCTCACTGGGTAAGCCGCTGTGCTCTTAACGCTCAGCTCTTGTTTCACGATGCTCTAAATAGTTATCCTGATGAAGGGAATTTATTAAGAGTCATACTTAAAGTTGGTTCGAAGATAGGAGGGGGCTTCACAAATTGAGTGTTAAAATGTTACTATATTTTAATTCCATTTTTCCACAAACTTTGAAGCCCCTTATATGTGTCAGTTTGACTGAAATGTATTCCTTAGCATCACACAAAAGTCTTGGCAAGATGATAAAGCATTATTAATGGTTTTTCCAAATACATCTGAAAAGGGCTGCTGGGCTGAAGTGCATGAGAATGGCTCTCTGACACCAAAGCCTTCCTGTAATGTGGGGGGGCAAGGAGGAATGATTAGCATGCATGTATTCATTTACCTGTTTTCTTACTTGCACATTATACCACATGGATGTGTGTGTGCGTGCATGCAAGTGCGCACGCTCACGCACACAGGGTCACTATGAGTGAGAACCTGCCCACAGCAGTACTTTACAACAACATAGATATTCTAAGTAATGAAAGCCATAAACCCAATTAGAAGAAAGTTCTTTTTAAAAGAAAAAGCCCACTATTTCATATTTTGATTTCAGGATCTATGTTTCTTCCACCAACCACGGTGGCCGGTGCCACTCTGTACTCAGTAGCAGTGTACGGGGGTTTAGTTCTCTTCAGCATGTTCCTTCTCTATGATACCCAGAAAGTAATCAAGCGTGCAGAAGTAACACCAGTGCATGGAGCTCAAAAGTATGATCCCATCAATACGTAAGTATGCTCTCATTGTCTGCTTTTCAAGGCACCGTGTATGTTGTTTGGCCTTTTTTTTCTTTTTTTTTTTTTGTATGACTTTGGGGAATTTTATTTCTGTTACAGTTTGGTCTATGCTCTCATGAATAAAATGTATCCAGAGAACTTAAATCTTTTGCAGCTATGTGTAATACCCATTTAGTTAGTTCTCAGAATCTTAATGTTTTTTATTAACTGACCTTATGGTGTAGGTGGTATTTTCTTGGTCAGTTTAACTTTTGACTATGAAGAGTCCATCTGTCTTCACCTTTCACTGACACTAAATGTAATTGCATAACTGTACTGCTTTTCCAGAGTTTTGGGACTCTGACAAAGTAGGTGATTTTACTTAAATATTTGTCTTGAGTTTCATGGTGTCTAGTTTTTTAAGATGATTTGTTTTTATCTAAAAATAAATTTTAATATAATGGGTTTTTTTTTATAACTTGCAGATTTGTAGTCATTTTGTGAACAGGGAATATTTTATATTTAAAATGCCAGACTTGTGTCTAACAAGTTTTTGTAAAGGTGTTTTGTTTTTTTGTTTTTGTTGCATTATTCCCATGTCTATCACCCAGTTTTCTTTGCAAGATACTCAACTTGTAGGAATTCTGCGGCATTTGAAAGATAATCTGCCAGAAGGGAAACCGTGATTATATTGTGGTTTAGGACAATTAAGCATCTTACTTTTCATTTGCATTTTATGTATCTGTGACAATCCGTTTGTTGTTTTTCTTTTTCCTTCTTTTCTAGATCTAGAAATCGTGTATCTTTACTAGAACTGCATCATATTTACTGTGCCTCATTTTCTTTTCTAGGATGATAGGAATCTACATGGATACACTGAATATATTTATGCGAGTTGCCACTATGCTAGCAACTGGAAGCAACAGAAAGAAATGAAGTGACTCCACTTTTTCTGGCTTCTCAGATACATCAGATACCTTCACTGTTTAATTGGGAGAAATGTGCATTAAATAGTCTGTACAAGCAGCTCTCATTGACGTTTAGAAGATAAGAACATGCCAACGTGTTTTAAATGTTCCAGTATAAATGGATGCTTTAGGTCTGCTAGTTCTGCTGCAGAATAAATTCCCTTCCAATTTGCACACACATTTCCAATTCCATGCTTGAGTAATTGTAAAATCTCTTAGTGAGTATGAAAACTAAGGTTTTATTATGAAAATTAAATCTCTTATCTATTTTTAAATATATTTAGCTACATAGAAATGATCAAACCTGTTTACCAGCATAGGCTTGGAGTGCAGAATGTTACAAGTATTGACTTAAATGGCGTAGAGGTTTGGTAATGGGACCAGAGTAAAGGATCATTTGCACTCTTTGAAATCCTAGGACTGAGCACTTGGGAGTCAGAGAGAATCATGTGGTTATTTGTAAGTCAAGGAGTGCTCACTGTTAGTACATTCATCTCGTGTGTACAGCAGAAGGCTTGACCATCAAAGACTGCTGCG